CAGGAGGAAGACAGCGGAAAAGTCTAAAGAGAACAGCGTTCCCAGTAGAGGGAACAGCATGGGCAAAGGTTTTGAGGTGCGAACCAGCTTGGCGTTGGAAGAACAGCTTGGAGATAAGTGTAGCTGGAGTGAGTGAGCACATGGGAAATGGAGGAGGAGGAGAAATGGGTGGACCTTGGGGGTTGGATGAGAGTTTGAAATCTGATGGTGGGGGTGGGGGACAGAGTGGCCACCAAACCCTGACCATCTGCTCTTCTTGGACTGGGAATAATGCAGCTGATGGGGTGGGGCTCGAAGGCCCCGGTAGGGGCGGAGACTCGGGCATTGCCCAGTGGGTACTGTCACCGACCTTTACCCAGGCTGGGGGTGGGGTGGTGGACAGTAAGTCAGTCAGAACCACAGAGGGCAAAGTCTTGAGCCACAGGGCAGGACGGGGACAGTGACTCTCCGAGGGTTGTCTAGTCTTCATCAGCCTCCGTGAGCCGGACTGGGTCCACCTGGGATTTCAAGGGGGTCAGAGCCAGACACAGACAACCCCAGTCCGTCAGGGTCTGGGCTGGGCAGCTATAGGGAAGGTGGGGTTCGGGGCGCCCTGGGTGATCGTGCTGGGAGAAGGGGCAGGTGGAGGGGCGAGTGAGGCCGAAGTTCTTTCTGAATGAGAGACTGCGGTCCCTGGCTGAGGGACCCCGGTGGAGTTCAGGCATAGAGGCGTGGCCAGGCTGAAACCCGCCGCCAGGGGCCGCTAACGCTGAAGTTGGGAGACGGGCCGGGGCGTGCTCGGATCCGGGTCCTGGAGACCCCTGGGGTGGGCGAGGGCCGAGGCAGGGAAGGGGAGGAGCCAGGCGATGGTGTAATGATGCGGGCTGAAGAAACTGCGACTGTTCTTTCTTTCCCACCGCGCAGTCCATGGGCCTGGGACCCGGCAGCCCCGGCGTCCCTCCCTGGGAGGGGGTGGCACCTGCCGATCCAGTCTCCTGCACTCTGACCGCTCCTGCCAGGCTGGGCCTGCGCACAGGTGCGGGGCTCCGAGCCCCGCCCCGAGGCGGTGAGAGCCCGCCCCCCGTCTACAGCCCAGCCCCCGCGCCGCACGTCCGCTGCTCCCGCCAAGCTTGCTGTCCCCGTGTCCGCGTCTGTCCGTGGGTCGGATTGAGTAGAAAGGGCCTGGGGGCCACGAAGGGAGCGTTGGTACCCGGCCACATACACGTGGCCCCGGCCTCAGCATGAAGTCTCGCAGGGACAAGCTGCACATCCCGGCGCTGACCCTCGAGTGAGTGCTTAGCTGGGGAAGGAGACATTGGGGGAGAGAGAAGCAGGCTGACAACCACCCTTCCCTGGCTTCTCTGTTCAAGTCGCCCAGAGTCGCACCGCCGCTTCCGGGGAGCCCTCCCGGGTCATCGTTCTGGCCCCGCCCTCGAGGCCTGCGCGAGACCCAGAATCTCGGGCCTTGGGCCCCTTCTCCCGGAGGGAATCGCATCCTTGGTCTTGTCTCCGGATTTGGCGACATACAGGGGCATCTGCCAGGTTCATCGTCCCTGGCCTCTTTCTTTGCAGTCTGTCTCCGAGCAGCCAGAGCCCATCCTTGCTGAGCCCCAGCAGCCCCTGCAGCCCTTGCAGCCCCTCGTTAGGCCTGCACCCCTGGAGGTAAGTGTAAGCGCGTGGGGCAGGGCTCAGACATCGCCCTGGTACTCCAGAGCCTTGGAAGCCACCCAGACCCAGCTCCTTCCCCAAGGTACTGTGGGCTGCTGATCTTGCCTCTCTGGGCCTCAGTTTACCCCTCCATAAAATGGTGCTGTGATTGGGAAATTCCATTTTCAACCATAGCCAGCAGGTTCCCAGTCCTACAGGTGGTCAAGGCGAGGCCAGAACTTGAGCTGTTGTCCAAGGACATCCTGAGACAGGTGCTGGGTTCCCAGCCAGCTCAGAGCCCTCCCTGCTGAATCAGTCTGGCTTTCAGGCTGTGAATTCAAGGATCCTCCCCACACCCAGCACAACTGGCCAGAAAGCTCCTCCTTCTGAATGTACACACACTCACATGTGTGCAAGCACAAGGCTAAGAGTCCACCATTAGAGCCCCGTGCACTGCGTTTAACAAGGCAAAGAGGTATAGGCAGAAAAGAACCAGCTTGACTGAGCACCAGCTTTCTGTTCCCTCTGCAACCCTGGGAGGGAGGCACCCTTCCTGACCTCATTTCTCAGCTGAGGAAACTGAGACTGAGAGAGGAGACAAGTTTTCCTGGTTCAGTATGTCTAGGGGCCAGTTGGCAGAGCCAGCTTGGCTGCCAGTCTGTTGAGGGTTTGAGCCACCCTCTGTGACTGGTAGGGCTCAAGGTCTTGCCCCTGTATGGGGAGGTAGGAATACCAGGGTTGTCATGGGGTCCTTGCACAGCTCAGGCACAAGTTCAGGGAGGGGACAGATGTGAGGGTCAGTGGTGTCTAAAATTTGATGGCCCATCAACACCTTAGTATCAATGAGCTGCTGAGGCTCTTTCCATAGGCCCCTAATGGGGAGAAGAGGGAACAATTTGGAACCCATACTGGCTGTGCAACAGGCAGGTACCTTCATTCAGTCAACAAGCACTTATTAGGCACCTACTGTGTCCCAGGTGCTAAAGGTATAGGTGTGAATAAGATGAACATAGTCCTACCCTCACAGGGCTCTCAGGAAGTAGACAGTGAGCAAGTGAATAGACAAACAAGATACATTCAGACAGGAACCTTTCAGGGGAAGTGATGTTTGAGCAGGTGCCCGGGCAGAACTATGGGGAAGAGAGGCCCCAGGCAGTGGGAACTGCATATGCAAAGGTCCTGAGACAGAACTGAGATTTTTAAAGCCTCTGTGGCTGACTTGAGGGGAAGAAAGGTCTGCTGGGACAGATGAAAAGCATGGAGGTGACAGAGGCAGAGAGGTGGCTAGGGCAACATCAGGGTAGGAGATGATGGACCTGGACCAGTCGAGGTGTCCAATGGTAAGCAGGGACTGCTGTAGCCCTCGTTAAGCAAAGGAGGAAACTTAGGACCTCAGAGGCACAGGATCTCAGATTTTGTTCTCCTGGGGCACCTGGGGAAGAATGTCAAGCTAGAACTGACTCTGAGTTCTTGACCTCAACCCAGGAGAGGCCAGAATGAGGGGAGGGACCCATTGAGAGCCCTGAGCCAGTTTTACTAGTAGGAAATGGAGGTAGAGTTTGGGGCTCTAGCTGCCACTGGGCTGCTTTACTTGCCACCAGAGGGCAGCAGAGCCACATTGCCTTGAGCCAGGCAAGGAAATGGGTCCTTGCTTCCCCTACTCCAAGCACCCTAGGAATAAGCCCACATTTGTCCCTTTAGCCGCCAAGACCCCGTGGGTCTCGCCCCTTCGACCCCCTGTCCATCCTCCCTGTCCATCTCCCCATCACTCACCCTGCTGTAGCCAAGCAGTTTCCCGGACTACCGGAAGGCAAGCTGGTCCAGTCTCAGGGCCTTTGCACTTGCTGTCCCTTTTGCCCAGAGCCCCATTTTCTCCTTTCTTTGTTTGTCATATCTCCATCAAGCCCTCAGACTACCTCCCGCAAGCCCTGGTTACATCCATTACACCCATCTATTTCCCTCATCCAGACCCCATCACAGGTATCATTTCCACGGTTTTTTGCGTATGATTATTGTTTGTTTGTTTTTTTCTCACTCAGAGGTCTGAGAGCCCCTTGAGGGCCAGACTTGGATCTGTCCTAGCCATCCTATACCCTAAGGGCAGAGCTAGTATACATCAGATGTTCAGTTAATGTTTGTAGCATGGACAAATGGGAAGCAGCTGGGAGTGTACTGCCTGCAATGGTGGTGGTAGTGGGAAGGAGAGTTGAAGAAGGTCCTGAGTTGAGCGCTCACAGACAAGAGGGCGACAGAGGCTGTTCTAAGAAGGAACAGCATTGTCAGAGGAGTTTTCCCTCTGGGGCCTTGAATGCCAAGGATGGGAAGAATTTGCATTTTTTACCCAGGGTACTGGGAGCCACATGGGGAATGGGACTGGGAGGGGTGTGGACAGTGTACAGGCAATTGGAAAGGGATGGGGTGTTTCAGACCAACAGGGAGTTGCGGGAAGTTCTAAGTACCCATCTGGGGCTTATCCATTTATACAATCTCTAGTACAAGCAGAGGCAAAGCCTGAGTCACAGGCAGGGTTAGTATCTGAGCCCTGGGAGAGATTCACCCAGGAGTGTGGTTTTGCTGTAAAAGCAGTGAGGAGCTATGGAGGTGGTATAAGCAGGGGAGGGACACGATCTGGTGGGCATTGGGCTGGTGCTAGAAGTCAGTGGCTTAGCCAGCCTTCCATGGGAGGCCTTTGCCATAGCTGCAGGCCCTCTGGGTTGTCAGCTGCAGTCCTGTTCTGCAGAGGAGGAAACTGAGGCCAGATGGGCGTGGGAGAAGCAGCTACTGGGGATGCCAGTGCAGTAGGCGTGATGGGAACGAATAAGCAGTGCAGGGTGTGGCCACAGCTGGGGAGGAGGGGCAACTGCTTTTCTGTGTGCAGAAATGTCCCCAGAACACATTGGGGGAGTTTTTGGACATAGTATGTCAGCATATGGTGACACAAGACCGTGGCCTCATCTCCACTTGGATCCCCAGACCTAGAGGATCTCAAGTTCCCTGTACACAGGAGGCTAGACACCTGAGAGCCATAGGTGACCCTCCTATTCTCATCTCCACATCTGGCCCCTTAGCAAGGCCTGTCCTTTGGCCAGAATCCACCCATTTGTCTTCACAGCCCGACCCTGGTCCAGGCCTCAGTGTCCCCCCTTCCCAGACCCTGTCACAGACCCTCACTAGCCTCTTGCCACTTCCACTCCTGCCCCTGACAGCTCCTGTTCCCGATGGCAGACATGGGCAGGTTTACATAGTCCAGACTACACCCTCGCCCTGCTCACACATCCTCCATGGCTCTTCATGGCCCCTACAGTAAAACTGTACTTTCC